CTCCACACAGAAGTTGAGGCTTGAGGCTTGAACCAGCGACCTTCTTGCTGTGAGGCAATTGTGCTACCCACTGCCCTGTAATAAACACATGTAACATTATTTTATATTGCATCAAACCATCACTGCTGGTTTAATCTAAAAATATTACTTTGAGAAAAAATACTTTTGAGAAAAATGCTTTTACCTAGAGAGTAACTTTTTTGCTTAAAGGCAAATTAAATAAAACAGGTTATAATCAGAAACCATAATTTTTAATTTTATCTATTATAAAAATGTACTTTGAATGAAAGACACAGAGGTGTCACTTATTTCTGTCTCTTGGTTACAATTTAGCCTCTGGAGCTGGGTCTGGTTGCAGTAGACCATTCTCACATTTTCATGGTGATGACGTTTCAATGGTCACCATCATATTAAATTATTGAAAGCTTTTAACACTTCGATTTTTAAAAGAACGTACGTACATGTATAAAGCTATACTTTGTATTATATAATCTTTGCATCATATTACAAAAAAAGTTGCACTACATTAAGGTTGAAGTGTAGTTAATGTATTTATGAACATAAACAAACAATGAATAATACATTTGTTGCAGGATTTATTAATCTTTGTTAAAACTAACCAAAATACAGTTGTTTATTGATAGTGCTTGTTATCTCACAATGTGTTTGCTAAAGTTACCAAACATGGCTTTTAACTGTAACAATGCATTAGTACATGTTGAACTTGATTAATCCATGATTTACAATTACAGTATTGCTCATTATTAATATTTGATGTTAGTAATTACATTAGCTAATAAAAACCTTATTGTAAAGTGTGATAAAAAAGGCCCAGGTTTTGCAGTGGGCACATTCATGACAAAATGACAACAAAAACTCAAAATCAAAATACAAATCAAAAATGGTCCATTGCATTATTTGTAGTAGCAATTGAATAATAGAGAGCTCTAATTCAATCCTTATTTCATAGTTTAAAGCACAGGTGTCAAACTCAGTTCCAAACGGTCCGCAGCTCTGCACAGTTTAGTTCCAACCCTAATTAAACACACCTGATCAAACTAATTAAGTCCTTCAGGCTTGTTTGAAACCTACAGGTAAGTGTGTTGGAGCAGGGTTGGAACTAAACTGTGTAGGGCTTCGGCCCTCCAGGAATTGAGTTTGACGCCCCTGGTTTAAACGTTACTTGGCCTTTTCCAGGTGCAACTGTCCGTCCATTGTCTTTAAAGAGTTCCTGTAAAGAACATGGCTAATAGCAAAGGTGAGTGTGCTTTTATGTAATTGGCGCTAGATTGTTAATTTTTATACTTTAATAATAATTATCATTATTATCATAATCCAGAGGAATGTCAGTTCCCTTCTTGTAGAAGTCCTAATCTCTGTCCTATTCTTGCAACACAGTTGCAAATCTGTTTCTAATTATCTTCCTTACCTTAAATTTTATTCGCTGCACAATACAAATTATTTATTTTACAAAATATTTTTTTTGCTTCTCTACATTTATGCTTTGTTTTGAGAAATGTGTCACGTTAGCGTGATCAAAACAATATCAAAACAGGAACAAAAGATTGCGGATTCAAGTGCAGATTTATTTACAGTGCAAAAAACATAAAACAAGGCGTTCAAAGTACAAATAAACCACAAAATCAGAAACTAAAACAGAGACAAGGCTCAGGAAACAAAACTCGAAAAACTAGACTAAGCAAAAATACAAAAAACACGATCAGGAACAAACAACTAAGAATATCAGACTTACTGCAGGACTGGGAACAAGACAGACAAGATAGACAACGACGCGATGACAAACATAGGTGGAATGGTGGAATATATAGTCCAGATAATCAACGGTAACACAAAACAGATGTGATGACAGATCAGTGTAGGTGTTCCGGTGTGTGCGCGGGGCATGTATGAAAATGTAGTTTTTCCTGGGGCACTGTAGCGCCTACAAGTCCTAGAGCACTACAGCGCCCTCAGGTGGTCACAGACGGATGTGACATTACCCCCCCTCTAAAGAGCGGCTTCCAGACGCTCCCAGACTGGTTCCAAGAGGGGGGCGGAGCGGAGCAGGAACAAAGGGAGGGATGGGAGGGTCATATCAGGGTCAGTCTGTGGGTCAGGCACCCCAGCAGGAAGCCAGGGTGCGGCCGGTGAATCCGTCCCAAGTAGTGGGAAGGACCACCAGGGAGGGTCGGGAGGGATGACCCATGGATGATCCCTTAGGGGACACAAAGCAGGGGTCTTTAGGAGGGCCGGCGGGACAGGAGGCAGCTGGGCTGGAGCCGGCGGGACAGGAGGCAGCTGGGCTGGAGCCGGCGTGACAGGAGGCAGCTGGGCTGGAGCCGGCGGGACAGGAGGCAGCTGGGCTGGAGCCGGCGGGACAGGAGGCAGCTGGGCTGGAGCCGGCGGGACAGGAGGCAGCTGGGCTGGAGCCGGCGGGACAGGAGGCAGCTGGGCTGGAGCCGGCGGGACAGGAGGCAGCTGGGCTGGAGCCGGCGGGACAGGAGGCAGCTGGGCTGGAGCCGGCGGGACAGGAGGCAGCTGGGCTGGAGCCGGCGGGACAGGAGGCAGCTGGGCTGGAGCCGGCGGGACAGGAGGCAGCTGGACTGGAGCCGGCGGGACTGGAGGCAGCTGGACTGGAGCCGGCGGGACTGGAGGCAGCTGGACTGGAGCCGGCGGGACTGGAGGCAGCTGGACTGGAGCCGGCGGGACTGGAGGCAGCTGGACTGGAGCCGGCGGGACAGGAGGCAGCTGGACTGGAGCCGGCGGGACAGGAGGCAGCTGGACTGGAGCCGGCGGGACAGGAGGCAGCTGGACTGGAGTCGGCGGGACTGGAGGCCGCTGGACTGGAGTTGGCGGGTCTGGAGGCAGCTGAACTGGAGCCGGCAGGGCATGGAGCCGGACTGGGGCCGGCAGGGCAAGACGTCTGGGAGGTGCCGGCAGGGCAAGACGTCTGGATGGCGTTGGTAATGCCAGGAGCCGGGCTGGGGCCGGCAGGGCGAGGAGCCGGGTTGGGGCCGGCAGGGCGAGGAGCCTGGGTGGCGCCGGCAGGGCGAGGAGCCTGGGTGGCGCCGGCAGGGCGAGGAGCCTGGGTGGCGCCGGTAAGGCCAGAAGCCAGACTGGAACTGGCATTGGACTGCGCTCTGGGGCTGGAGCCGACACTGGCGGGCGCTCTGGGGCTGGAGCCGACACTGGCGGGCGCCCTGGGGCTGGAGCCGACACTGGCGGGCGCTCTGGGGCTGGAGCCGACACTGGCGGGCGCTCTGGGGCTGGAGCCGACACTGGCGGGCGCTCTGGGGCTGGAGCCGACACTGGCGGGCGCTCTGGGGCTGGAGCCGACACTGGCGGGCGCTCTGGGGCTGGAGCCGACACTGGCGGGCGCTCTGGGGCTGGAGCCGACACTGGCGGGCGCTCTGGGGCTGGAGCCGACACTGGCGGGCGCTCTGGGGCTGGAGCCGACACTGGCGGGCGCTCTGGGGCTGGAGCCGACACTGGCGGGCGCTCTGGGGCTGGAGCCGACACTGGCGGGCGCTCTGGGGCTGGAGCAGTCCTGTTCCTACGCCTCCTCCGTCTGGTGGTTAACAGCTTGCTCTGGAGCTGGAGCCGACACTGCGGGCATTGTGGGACTGAAGCAGACACTGGGGTTCCACACAGTTCAAGCAGGCTCTCCAGAGGCTCAGAAAAAGGTGATCTTCGGACAGCCCGACGCGGATAAGGCCGCAACTCCAGTCCTGCCTCTCTCCTCTTTTCCTTGGTTAAATCAGCTGGCCCCGAAAATATCCCTCCCTGTTGCCCTCCACTCAGGCCTCCCTCCTGAGGGTTCTCCTCCCTCAGGGCAACAGAGAGAGGGGAGCCAGCGATCAACAAAGCTGCTTCAATGAACCGATAAAGGTTCCAGTCTTCCTCATACGGTGGCATTTGGGAACGGACTGGATCCAAAAGTCCTCCCCGAAAAAACATCATTAGTAATAGGTCACTATGAGAGCTCTTCGGGGCTAGCTCCAAAAACTCCTTGATATATCGCTCAATTGAGCGATTACCTTGTTTTATACGCACGATAATACTATCTGCTGAATCCATTGGTGATCGCGTCGTTCTGTCACGTTTTAGCGTGATCAAAACAATATCAAAACAGGAACAAAAGATTGCGGATTCAAGTGCAGATTATTTATTTACAGTGCAAAGAACATAAAACAAGGCGTTCAAAGTACAAATAAACCACAAAATCAGAAACTAAAACAGAGACAAGGCTCAGGAAACAAAACTCGAAAAACTAGACTAAGCAAAAATACAAAAAACACGATCAGGAACAAACAACTAAGAATATCAGACTTACTGCAGGACTGGGAACAAGACAGACAAGATAGACAACGACGCGATGACAAACATAGGTGGAATGGTGGAATATATAGTCCAGATAATCAACGGTAACACAAAACAGATGTGATGACAGATCAGTGTAGGTGTTCCGGTGTGTGCGCGGGGCATGTATGAAAATGTAGTTTTTCCTGGGGCACTGTAGCGCCTACAAGTCCTAGAGCACTACAGCGCCCTCAGGTGGTCACAGACGGATGTGACATTATGAAGTTGTCTTTTCACCACTTTTCCCTTAAACTCCTCCCCTACACCTTTAATTTGCATATATACATTTTAATGTTAATTAAAAGAATCACTTTAATATTGATTCAATTCAATTCAGCTTTATTTGTATAGCGCTTTTACAATGTAGATTGTGTCAAAGCAGCTTCACATAAATGGTCATAGTAACTGGAACAGTGTGGTTCAGGTTTTAGTGTTTAAGTTCAGTTCAGTTCAGTTTAGCTCTGTTCAGTGTGATTTAATCATTACTGAGAGTTCAAACACTGAAGAGCAAATTCATCGATGCGATCTAAATTAAAAATAAGTTTGTGCATATTTATGTTGGTGTTAGTGGCACAATTCTGCCATCTGTTGGTGAGAAAAAACTGTTTTAGAAATATTTTGAGTGTGTTTTGTTGTCTCAGATCTTGTCCTCTGCAACTCTATGGGCAGTCCAGAGTTTATTCAGGAGCTTCTTCCGGCTGCGGAGCGAACGGCTCTTCTCTATCACCTGTCTTATCTGTGTTTGGGTGGATTTCCAAAACTGGAGCGTCTGCTCAGAGAAAGAGCTCTGGAAACACAACTGCTGTTTGGATCCTCTGAGGCCGTTCTGTTCAAGGTTTTCATTTATCAACAGCTTTATTAAAAGGAGACTTCGGTTTATGGATAACACTTAAATGTCAAATGTCAGTTAAATGGAAAACTCAAAAATGTTCTCCCTCAGGACATACATTTTTTTAACAATAGGTCAACCTTTAGGAATCAGTAAATCCATTACTCTAGACTGGATCTGTCTGAATAATTTGAATCATGCATAACTGGAGACTGATTCTGACCGGATCATTTGAATTTGTTAATTTAAAACTGAAGACTGGCTTCGAACGAATCATTTGAATCAGTGTATTTATAACTGGAGAATACTCTGTCTGAATCATTTGAATCAATGAATTCGTTTCTCCAGACGGGCACTGACCGAATCCTTCAAATCCACGAATCCATAGCTAGAGACTGACTTTGACCAGTCCATTTGGATCCATGAACTCATGACTCACTCATTCTGATCAGATCCTTTGAATCAAAAAGTCATTGATCCCGGACAATAACTCTGGTTCATTTGAATCAATGACTCAATGAATGAATCAATGATTCTATAACTGTGCAATTTCTGAATGCATTGTTTGAATCACAAGAAATAATGAATAGTGTCCCTGCTTCTTTAATGAGAATCTCTCTTCTGTCTGTGCAGTGTGTGGGAACCAGCAACAACCTGGTTAAATCTCTGCTGCCCAGTCTGAAAGTGGCCGCAGAGAAGAACAAACCCCAGTTAGCTCGCAAACTCCTGGAGAAGGCAAAAGATTGGATCAGTGACATCATAAAGGACGTCAAAGATATCGTGAAGAGGTAATAATGATCAACTGGGAAACTTTCCTAATAAAGTATGATGATTAAAATGAAATACTTATATCATGATATTTGCTGCACATTCAGGTATGACAAGCACAACAGTGATGTCGCCAAATCCACCAGTGACATCATCACAGTGAAGGACGAGACTGAGAAAAACCATCAGCAACAAACCTGCGAGATGGAGGCCCTTCAGAAAACTGTGGACACCCTGGAAGCCAACCTTCAGAAACTAAACAAGGAGATCGAAGCCTCTGAGAAACAGATTGAAGCAAAAAATGCAGAAATTCAAGCGTTCATTAATAAAATCACTAGCAAAAAGGAAGAGCCAACAGTGCAGACGACTTCTGCAATGCCTGCAGCAGCAGCAATTGCACCAAGTGTCGCTATATTTTCAATGATAGTGCCGTTTGTAGAACATATTATGGATTACATTTGCAAAATGGTGACGGCCTCTTCATATCAGGCTACGATCAAAACTCTTCAAGGAGGACTGTCTGAGCTCACAGACGCTCATCGCCATCTGCAAGATCAGGAGTGGAGCATCCAGAACAAGCTGATGGACCAACAGCTGAAGCTGGCCAAAATAAAAATTGAAAACGGTGAGACTCTTTGCTTTCTGTATAACAGAATTATTGGGTTTGCTCATAACCTTCTATACGAAAGCATTCAAAAATGAAATATAATTTTTTAAATATTTGTTTACTATTTGATGCAGGAAATTATGTTATGTAAATGCAGATTACAAACTAAGCAACCATGTAACATATTATTCATTAATATTCTTAATACAGTGGACTACCAGTAAATTGCACCTGATTCAAAGCTAAATTCAGTCATCATAGCTTGGTAATCCAAGCTTAATCCCTTATGTTGATTTTGTGCTAAACGCCTCAGTTCATATTTTGCTATGATTTTTAAACTATATTGAATGTATTGTAGTAGTGTGAATAATTTTCGGTTTGTCTGCATCTGATATCTCAGGTCAGCTGCCCAGTGTAAGTCACCTGGATGAGGTCCAGAAGTGCCTGTCCAGAATCCAGCAGATCCTGGTCCAGCTCCAGAAGTTCTGGGAGAAGGTTGGCGCTCTTCTGGACACCCTGAAGGACAGGACCTTTGCTGGGGAAGACCATATTGAATTCCTGGAGGACATGAAGGAGGTGTTCCTGGACTCTGTGGATGCAGCCAAACAGGTAAATGATGAGAAGAACATAGCTTTTTGTAAAAATGATAGTGATGTTGTTACGGCTTTGAAATTAAACATGATTATAAGTATAACAGGAAAAATCATGATCTAAGCAAAGATGAGTATAGATAAGTGATAATGAGGATGCACCCTCTGAACCAGGCCTTCAAATGCTTACCATCTGGATGCTGTTAAAAGACAGGAAAGCAACTAAAGCAATCTATAAACAAACCCTTGTGCCTAAAGCAATTCATTTTTTGAACAAGAAGTAAAACTGTGATGATTTAGGATAGGAGTTTTATGTAATATGCATTTTATGACTGTGTTATGTGAATGTTTTGTTTGTTGTATTGTAAGCAAGACAAAGACCAATTTTCAGCCAACGCTGAACAGTAAAGTATGATTCTGATGCTCATCAGGATTGATTTGTAAAGCTGTCTGATGATTTGATGTGACGTGTACAGGGCTGGACTAATTTTGGCAACAGCTGCATGAAGGCGAACAGCATCTTCAGTGTTCAGGCGAATGACGCCTACAAGTTCCTGGAGGTCAACCCTTCATCTCTGTCCAAAGAAGACTGGGAGAAAGAGTACAACCTCATCAAGGACAAGCTGGAGAACATAAAACCGAATGTTCCAAGTCAAAATGCCATCACACACTGAGAGCTGAAGATGATTTTCAAGGAAAAAATGAGAGCTTTTGTAAAGTTATGTTTTTGCTTTGATCTCTCGCATTCTATTCCAGAAGTTGCTACATTTTAATTTACTTCATGACTGTTAAGAAAGTGTGTTCTAGAATCTGAGTAGTGTGAATGGAACTCTAAATATTACATTCACTATTTGTCATTATCACATGATGATCTACCGTTATGTGATCTAGTGGTTATCAACTGATAGATATGGGGCAGTATAAGGGCCTTCTGTGCCCACTGGTTGGCTCAGAAGGCTGTTATCATCCACCCACATGGTTAATCAGCTATAGATCACATACGGCTGTGGCCAAAAGCTAACAAGAATTATTTATATTATTTATTTAATTTCACATCAATTGTATTTTATTAACATCTACCGTTACCCCAACCCTAAACCCAACCGCAGTGTTGGGCAAGCTACGTAAAAAATGTAGTGAGCTAAGCTATTAGCTACTCTACTTCAAATGTAGCCTAACTACACTAAAAGCTACCCTCTGGGAAATGTAGCAAGCTAAGCTAAAAGCTACTTGGCAAAAGTAGCTTAGCTACAGTTAAGGTATTTTTACCATTTTCATTTTTTAATCGAAGCAACTTAAATCCAGGTCAATCATATCTTAGTGATCAATAAAACTGTCAATGAACATATGAGGCAGAACAGTTCAGTTCAGTCATTTACTGTAGATAATATGCATCCAATAAAACCAGGTGTCACACATTTAAAAAACTATAGTCATTTATATATACTATATATACTATATATATTTTTGGAGCACAGCATCAGAAATTAAGTTATTGCATCTTAATATGTACTTCTCGAGGTATAGTCACGAGGAATCCTGCTTCAGTTCAGAAATAACTCTTCTCCCTCAGTCATCTTTACATCAAGTTTTCGCAGAGGTGGCAGTAACGCTTTTTTGTCGAAAGTTTTTTGTCGAACACCATAAAACAGGAAGAAGAAGAAATCACCATTCTCATCATCATCTGGATTTACTTTCATCGGCTAGACTACTTGACTAATAAAATAGTTTCGCTACTGAAAAGCTATTTGATGTAGAAAGTAGCGACGCTACAGCCACGCTACTGAGAAATGTAGCTAAGCTAGTAGCGTCACTACTTGTAGCATCGCTACTGCCCAACACTGCCCAACCATCACAGTAATGCAAAAGCATATCTCTATTAGTAAAGCTAATTAACCATGTGGATGGATGAGAACAGCCTTCTGAGTCTACCAGTAGGTAACCACTGTTACGTTTCACGTATGTTTTGTGGTATTTTGTTGTTTTCTGCTTTGCGCTCTTCTCTCTTCTCTCTCCTCTCTCTCTTTCTCTCTCTTGTTGTGGTCCTATCCTGTTTCAGGTGTGCTACCATTGGTCGAGTGAGCTGTCATTCACCTTCGTTACTCAATCGGCGCGCCAATAAGGATCGTGTCCGCGCAGTATAGAGTGGAGGAACTATGACGTCAATTTGTATGCAAAAACCCGGAAGCGAGTTAGCATTTTAGCACTTCCGGTTCCCTCGTCCCAAAGTCAATGGGTTTTTTGAATGGGGTTTCAGTAAAATCGCTTAAATAAGGTCCGTGGCTAACACCAACTCAATATACTTTCACGTTTTGTTCTACGACATAAAACACATCAGTTACAGCACACTCTTCAACTTTAAAATCGATTATGCTTCTTTAAAAAGACGGTTGCAATCAAGTTGCTAAATCGGACTACAGGCGGCGTCGGGGACATTATACGTCATCGAGCTGATCTGGTCTGGAGCGCAGCTCGCTTGTGATGGGCGTTTGGATTTGTCTGTTATTTAAGTATTTTCATGAAGAGTATTTTATAGTTTGTTGCATTATTCTAATTGAGAATTCAGATTGTGTGTAGATAATTCCTTCACATGTAAAGGCTGTCGAGACAGACTAAATTGTTGATCATTTATTTTAATTAAACGATATTATGAAGATACTGCTCAGTGCAGCCTGTCTCTCTCCTGCCCTCAGTAATGCAAACGTGTCAATAAATGTGTAAAAATAGACATATTAACTGTCATTTTAACGTGATCAAGTGATTTCTCGTCTTTTTTTCTTCATCTGAACACATTTAACTGCAGTATTTACACTCCTCCATAAAACGTACAGCAGATGTGACTGTATGAGCTGCTTTTCGCTGTACTTTGTGACAAAAAAGGAATATTGAATGTTGCTCTGTGTCCATGATGATGGAACTTGCAGGCATTTGATAGACTTGTTCCTCCTCACGCCTAAGAACCTTGTTACAAGTACAAAATTAGTGTGCGAAAATAGAGCCCTTTTAGTACATTACTGTAAAGTGTACTAAGTATACTTGAATTAAGTGCATTTTAGCACACTATTTTCACATTTTGTATATTCTTTAAATATAATACTATGCTTTAACCCAGATAGCAGGTAGTAATCGGCCTGAGCTCGGCTCCGACTCGGCGCTTCCGGCTCCGACTCGGCATCGGCGAGTATTATCCGGCCGAGTCTGGCCCGCAGCTCGCTCCCGCACATGCGTTTGGGATGCGTCTGTTAAGCACTGGCCCGATTCCAGTCAACCACATCTGGCCCGAGTCTGTCTGTAGAGTGAGTTTTGTCATAGGATATATATGCTGTTTGCATTTTATTCAAAGGTTAAATACACTTTGTGTTTACATTATAGCCTGCGTTTGCTGCTACAACTCAAAGGATTGTAATATAAAGGTATATAAAAAAGTATATAAAAACTTAGTCACGCCAGCTCCGGGCCGCAGCGCACATTACTCTCGGGCCGATTCCGGCGCGGATGCGGCAGCGTCGGCTCGCTTACGGCCGCCGCATCTGGCCCGATTGATTCGGGCCGAAATCGGGCAGTGAGTCCACAGGCATCCGGCCCGGCGGATCTCCGGCAGGCGGGAATCTAGCCGGATCTGGCCCGAGTGTTTTTTTTGCTATCTGGGAAGCTATTCTTAAATGTATTTATAAATGTTTAAAAGTAGGGTTCAAGTGTATTTCTAGTTGTAACTAAACATATATTTTTAAATACAGATATAGTATGTTAAAAGCACGTTTTAGTTCAATTTTAGGGTGTCTTAAAATAGCACAGTTGAGTAGATGGTATCAAGCTTATCTTAACATATACTTAATACTATCTTTTAGTACATTAAAATTCGTGTGCGAAAATAGAGCACTTTTAGTACACCCGTTTTATTTCCTGTTTTGATCACTCTAACCAGAGACTTGCTTTGTTTACCAAATAAAGTAAATCTAATTGCATTTGCATTTTAAACATTAAATAAAAGTTAAAAAGATATTACTTTTTTATTTCCTACAGTAAGGTTATAGTTATGATTCTCCTGAAATAATTCCACAGAAATCCACAGTTTTTTGGCAAAATTCTACGCAGAAATAGAAAAAACATCCGCAGATTCTGTCTGGCCCTAGTGATGAGTTACAAAATAATGAGAAACGTAGAAAAATGTCAGAAGTCAGATGCTAGTAGGACTTTTGTCAGTGTCTGGAGGTACAGAAAGAACCAAAATGCACACTGAAATATGGAAGATTTATGCCTTTATTATATGATCATTATTATTATTATTATGATGATGATGATCATTCATTCCCCATTATGAAACCCAAAGCTATTGTAACCTACAGTTAAGAAACAGGACATTAATAATGTTCATAACATCAGTCCACAAAAGAGTATCAGGTGGATTTAACAAATTTTAGCACTTGTTTTATTCTTACTTGTTTTATTTCAGCTATAATAAAAGCAGTTTTTAATTTTTTAAACACCATTTTAAGCTCAATATTATTCACCCCTTCAGCAATATTAGTGTTGGATTGTCTCCAGAAAAAAAAAACACTGTTGTACAATGACTTGCCTAATTACTTTAACTTTACCCTAATTACCCTAGTGAAGCCTTTACATGTCACTTGTGCTGTCAACATGGTCAATATAAAAGAAATCATTTATTAGAGATGAGTTATTAAAGCTATTATGTATAGAAATGTGCTGAAAAAATCTTCTCTCCGCTAAAAAGAAATAGGGTTACAAATATACAGCAGGGCTTTTAATTCAGCTGTACATGTTTGCCCTATAGGAAGAGCATATGAAAGGCTGAAGAAGCCTGAAAGTGTCCTCTATTTGAGTGAAGCTCGGGTGTTGATGAAGTTCAGTTGATCAAGGATAATGTTGTGCTGGAACTGCCGATATCCGGTGACATTGAAGACGGGTTGTTCTCCAGGAATTTATATCCATCTTTAAACAGAACCTTGAGGATGTCCAGAACGACCAAACACATGGAGCCGAATTTCATCCAAAACTGAAAGAGGAGACAAAACATTACTGTCTGTCTGTCTGTCTGTCTGTCTGTCTGTCTGTCTGTCTGTCTGTCCGTCTCTCTGTCCGTCTCTTTGTCTGTCTGTCTGTCTCTCTGTCTGTCTGTCTGTCTTTCTGTCTGTTCATCGTCCATCCATCTGTCCATTCATCCATAAATCTGTCCATCTCTCTGTCTATCTGTCTGTCTGTCTGTCTGTCTGTCTATCTATCTATCTATCTATCTATCTATCTATCTATCTATCTATCTATCTATCTATCTATCTATCTATCTATCTATCTATCTGTCTGTCTGTCTGTCTGTCTGTCTGTCTGT